CTTAAAATAAAATCTCTCTGTGCTAATAAAGCAGTCTGTATCTATCACAAATTACTTGTGCTCCTCTAAGGATAAATGTTAACCTTTTTTTTAATGCATCCATTTCCAAAATAATTAATTGCTGTGAACAATTGCTAAAAGGGTTCTTGGTAATAAAGGTGTCGTCAAGAAATGCTGGGTGGCGTTTGACCATAGATCTTTTGCTATGTTTTTTTTAAATAAAAAAACCCATCAATATGAAATACCCAGCGATTCTTTGCCACTTGACAGCCACGGGGAACTGAGGGCACATCTGATGAGAAGATCATGGGTGATTAGGGACAGGGGTGATGGGATGGGTCCATTCACCAAAAGGGCACCAAAAAATTCACATTGTTCTTGGTTCAGACAAAGAGCTAAGACACCACAGGGGCTGATTTAGTGACTTGCACAAAACCCAAGTGGGCAACACGGTTTGGACCATCCGATTCCATGTTTTGATTAAAAGGGAAGGAGGGGGGAAGTGAAATGTTGTAGTAAGTCGGCTGGTTCTGGCGTTAGCCTTTGCAATCCTCTTAAATAAACACAGGGACTGTGGCATTCAGTTTTTCAGCAGAATATATTTAATGCTCCTGCAGCACTGGAGGAAGTGGTGATGGAGAAGAAGGATATATATATATATATATATATATATATATATATATATACCCCTTCCAGTCCATCCCTGCTGCCTTTATTTTCATGCTTTCTTTATTAATGGGATTTGCTGGAGTTTGTCTCCCCTCCTCTTTTTCTTCCTTTTTTAATCCACCATTTACATTTAGGATGAATAACAGAAAGAAATGTCTTTTTAAAAGCCCCTCTTCCGACGAATCACAGAAGCCCCCAGCCGCTGAAGCCTCTCATCCCCCACCCCCCAAAAAGAAGAAAAGAGCCCACAAAAAGATTTTACGCTTACCTAACTTCCCCCCACAAGCCCCTTGTTCCTGCTCGTTGCCTCTTCTGAAACACTTCTGTAGCTGATGCTAGAGACAACGTTTGTGTATCTGATTGCCTCTGATCATTTGTTTTAAATATATCGCCCCACGTTTCAGCTGGAGTTCCATTTAACAGTATTGACAAATCATTCATTGTAGGAAAACATCATTAGAAACATAGGCTCTATTCATCATGTGAGCTCTCTTTCTCTAGGCCGCCGAGTATTGAATATAATTAATCAATGAAACTAATTTCTTAACTAGAGAATTACCTTGTAGCTTTGCTGCGAAATGTTTATGTGGCTTCTGATCATCCCTTGGAGGGCTTGTTCCTGGGGCCGGGGGCTACTACACTGAACGGGCAGGAATGATTCTGCCTGGCTTGCAGCACTCAAGACTGCTTACTCTAGCATGGACTCCCATCTACTGAACAGTGAGAAGGGAAGTCCCTGGTTCAAGTCTTGTCTTTGGTGTGAAGCAGCTGAGAAGCTTTAGGAAGCCACCTTCTCCCAGCTGTTCATCTGAACGTTCTGTGGCATTCTATTATGCGAGTAGACATAGATGGGTTTCTCAACGCCTGGGGTTATTGTGGGCTGGATCAGTCCAAAGGCCCATCTAATCCAGCATCCTGCTCTCACACTGGCCTACCAGATGCCTATGGGAATCCTGCAAACAGGACCAGTGCACAGAAGTGCCGTCCCCACTTTTGCATCCCAGCAGCTGCAGTAGTGAATGGTGGGGTGGGGTTGTGGCGCATACCTGACCTCCCAGAAGTGGAGATGCCTCTCCTCCCCAGGAGGGAGAGTGGGAAAGGCAAGGCAGGAGGGAGGTCAGCACTGTGCAAACACATTGGCAGAACCAATATGGTGCTCTTGCTAGCGTGTTTGCACAACACCAACCTTTCCGCCTTGCCTTTCCCACTCTCCCTCCTAGTAAGCAGCGGTGACCCAGCTGCTGGGAGGTCAAGTAAGTGCTATAGCTCAACCCTACAGTCCACTACTGGGCAACTGGTATTCAGAGGCATAGTGCTTCCGATGTTGGAAGCAGTTGCACCCAATGCTCAGCATTGGTCCTAAGTAAGAAGAATCTTTAGTACCCCCCCCCAATTCCTTCAACTTTGGATACCTTGTTTTGTTTAACACATGCTTTCTCTTCCACATAAGATGATAAATGCAAAGCTATGATCTATAAATCTGTATTTATTCATGCCATATGAACACTTTGATTCAGCTGCTTAGTGGATGGTTGTATCAGGCAGGTGTCCCTCCGAGCCAGATGACCCAGTTCTTTGCCTGGGTTGCCTCCCCTGAAATCTACTCCTTGTCGATGTGTCATGGATTGTATTGCTGCTGTTGGTTTCTATGGTGAAAAGTGTTGGAATCTTGGAAGCCAAGACCCAAGTTTGGGGCAAGGACTCTTGGGTGAGAGAACCCCAGCAGAGATTTAACACCACAGTACAAGCAGCAAAGAAAGATGTGTAAAACCTTTCAGTGAGTCCCCAAAACGCCCTCTTTTAAAAGCTCTTTCCAAGTGATCTCACTTCCCTAGCATAGACACAGAACAAATGTTTTTAGTAAGTCATACAATGGACTCCTTGCAAAACTCTTCAAATGTCAGATTCAGGTGCTTTTCTATACAGCAGTCAGAAAAGATGCTGCTTAATTACGAAAGGTAAAAGTGACTAAACTATTGGTGGAGAAAAATACTTGTTTCAGATTCCATTCTGGTCTGAAACAAAAAGAGGCTGGTTAAAGCCATGCGCTGGAGTGACTAGTTTAGAGCTCCTTGCATGCTGAAATCTACTTGGAGAGTGAGATATAACCTCACTTGGAGGTTATAAGCCTTGATCAGGGCCATCTTACCCGTAGGTGCTAGGGGTGCGGGGCACCTGGGCACCGGGCTCTCAGGGGCTCCAGGTCGAGAGTCCAGGGCCTGAGAGTTGAGTCTGGGGAAGAGCCTGCCCGTCGGTCAGAGTGCCGCAGTGGGCTATTCTGCACCACAAGTTTGGGGGTGACCAAGCCAGCGAGACACTGAGGCGGCCAGCTGGCTTTGCCCTCCTGCACGTCTGGGATTGGGCAACCTGGGAGGGGGGGTGTCTTTTTTTTTTTTAATTAATATTTATTGCTTTTCCAACGATTTAAACACTACAAAAACAATACAATACAATACAAAAACACTACATAACATTGACACATTAAACACATTAGACACATTAAACTAACAAAACAAAACAAAAACAGTTTAAAATAAATCAAACATTTTCAGTATCTTATCTTTCATTCACTTATTTCCACGACCTCCTCACACCTCCCTTTTTGTATTCCACTTCTGTTAATTGTTTCAGCAATTCCTTTCCATCTTCCTCTGTTTTCTATCCTATAATTATCTTAACACATTCTAACCTTATTTTTCCTTTAATACTCTATTACTCTATTTATACTTATTTCCTTATAACATTTCTACTAAAGCCATATAATTTCATTCCAACATTTTTCTAACATTCATTAATTTTACAATATTTCTGTAAATAGTCTTTAAACTTTTTCCAGTCTTCTTCCACCAACTCTTCTCCCTGGTCTCGGATTCTGCCAGTCATTTTCACCAATTCCATATAGTCCATCAACTTCATCTGCCAGGGAGGGGGGGTCCTTGCACCCCGGCACCGCGTATGCTTAAGACAGCCCTGGGCTTGGTGACCCATTTTCTCTCAAGGTGGAAAGTGATGACATGCTAAGCCTGGCAGGTTTAACCCTTTCATGAACTAATTTGGATTCAAACATGCTAGAGTTATGTGAGGCTGGAGACAATCACACTTCTCAGCACAGAGTGTTTGTGATTTGTGGGTGGTAACTATATCCACCCTGAGATGGATGGATGCCAACCGGTAACCCCTCACATAGGCTACTGCAATGTCTTGTGGATGGGGCTGCCTCTAAAAATGGTCCAGAAACTACAGTTGGTTCAAAATAGAGCCCCCAGGGTATTGTGACTGGGTATTTTCATCATGTTATGACAGTGCTTTCCCAGCTGCACTCACTCTGAGTTGGTATTGGGACCCAATTTAAAGTGCTGCATTTAATCTATAGAACTCTAAAATGCCTTAGGTTTATCTCCCTGCATATGTCTACATGAATCTTAAGATCCTTCTTCATACACACAGAACTGAGATAGGTGACCACTAAGGAGAGGGATAGCCTTTTTGGTAGTGGCACCGCAGCTATGGAATGCTTCTCTTAAGAGAGACTCACTTGGTGCCTTCTTTGTGGTCTTACCAGCACCGGACAAAGTCCTTTCCTATCACCTTGGCTTTTAAATTGTGTTTTAAGTCTCAAATTATTTTATACTGTCAATGAAACAAATATTGGATTTTTTTTGTTTGTTTTTTGCAGTTGTCTATTGTTTCTGCCGATTTTATGATAGATATGAACGATGGTTTTGTTGGCAGCCACCCAGGGAATACTTACTGATAAGTTGAATAAATAAATAATGAAAAACACCTGTTTTAAAGATAGAGAACAAGGAGACTGACTTGTCTTCCAGTGAGAAATGTGGGAAGTCATGATGAAGAGCTCAAAAACACAAGCACAGAGGAAAATGAGCTGAGCAGAACTTCTCTCTCTATCACCAGCCAGCCAGTGTAATATACCCTCACTGGCTGTTCACCATCCATTTCCTTTTCCATTGCAATTCTGTCTATGAGCCACAGCCAGGCTCCTCTTCACCACAGCACAGCTCTAGTGTGGAGTGTCAGAGAGACATGTATTCACACCTAGCCCCTTGCACAGAAAGCAGGCCTGAGCAAGATCAACGTTCTCCAAGATAAAGAAAACCCATGGGTTTGGCTCAGGATTAGTTTATGAAGGACAGAGTGGTTGAAATGTAGAGAAGTTGACCTGACTTAATGTATTCCTAACAGATACTTGTGCTCAGCTGCTGTTTGAAGACCTCCAAGGACAGAGGTTCCCATTTCCAGCCTAAGTGGCTTCTTTGGTTGATGAACCACTCCTAGCATATCCATCATATAGGCTTGATTTATGTTAGGGAGGGGTTATAGCTCAGTGGTAGAGCATCTGCTTTGCATTCAAAAGGTCCCTGGTTCAATCCCTGACAACTCCAGGTAGGGTTGGGAGTCAACCTTCCCAGAAAACCTGCCAGTGAGTGAGGACAATACTGAGCTAGATGAATCAGTGGTCTGACTCTGTGCAAGGCAGCCTCTTGTAGTCCACACTGTTGACTCAGCAATCAACATGGAAGAAGAAGAAGAAGAGTTTGGATTTGATATCCCGCTTTATCACTACCCGAAGGAGTCTCAAAGCGGCTAACATTCTCCTTTCCCTTCCTCCCCCACAACAAACACTCTGTGAGGTGAGTGAGGCTGAGAGACTTCAGAGAAGTGTGAGTAGCCCAAGGTCACCCAGCAGCTGCATATGGAGGAGAGGAGACACAAACCCGGTTCACCAGATTATGAGTCTACCGCTCTTAACCACCCACCACGTTGGTGTAAGAGAGCAAGCGTTCTCTTTGGTAGGAGGGAAGGAAAATTAGCAGTGGATTCAAATGCCCACTCCACATTTTCTGCCCCATTCTTGGGAGAAGAGTTTGGAGCATGAGTGGGGGGTTGGGAGAGAACTCAAAATAGATTTCAGAGAGCAGGGGCTTAGCAGAGTGGAAAAAACAGAGGAGAAGAAAAGTCAGAAATAGCCTCTCCCACTGCAGTTCCTAACAAGCCCCCATCTCCTGAAAGTTAATTAAGAATTGTCCTCTCCCAAAACCAGGCGGCAATTGTTGGTTCCCCTTTTGCCCCTTCCTCCTTGAATGCGGGCAGGGGAACGTACTTCCAAAACCATGTGGATCAAGGCCACTGAAAACAGTGTCTGATAGTAAAGGAATAATGATATCAGCAGGAATAATGATATCAGCAGGGTACTGTTAGCAGAACTGCTTTGTTTCATTTGCAAGTACTCTCTCCCTTTTAAATAAAACCGACTCAGCTGCCTTTGAAACAATTGGTCTTGTCTGTGTGCTGCCACGAAATCTTTCAGGTTCCTGTGCCCATGAATGCGGCAATAACAGAGGAGATCCTTAAACGGCAGTGAATTGCAGGCAAACGCTAGGGTTCAGGAGGTCAACTAAGTCATTCATTATTGCACCGGGAACATTGCTGATCTAGGTGTATGGTAAATTAAATCTCATAAGGGTAACTTCTGGTAGAGGTAGGCTACAGCTCCCCCGTTTGCTCTGTAGAATGGGAAAGAATGCTACCCTATGCCGCACACCTTGTCTCCCTCCCCTTTGAGCCAATGCCGTTCACAAACACATATTGCAACCTCCCCTGGTTCTTCAGACTTAGGCAAGCAACAAATCCAGGAGTCTTACTGAGCCCTTTGATGGGCAGTATACATTGTTGGGGTGGGGACTTTACCATGGGGACCTGATTTAAGTCAAAAGAAAATTTGCCTACAATTATTCCTAGTCCTGCATAGAAGAAGAGATGCTTCTGTCCATTCATCCCCAGTAGGGTGTGAGCACCTTCTGTCTGAGCTTCTCAAAAGGCCTTCATCATTGGTTCAGAGTCAGGTGGGTCAATCTACGCTCCATTATTTGAATGGACTGCTTTTTTTCTGTTGGATTTGATCACTGGAGCCATAAAGACTTAGTCCAGTGGTTTTCAAATGGCTCCTTGGAAGATTAGGTTGCTGAAGAAATCAGCAATGACGGACAATTGTTTGAATACAGTGTGGAGTTGCATTCAGCAGTGCACTCTCAGTTCCTGTGTGGGAACGAAAATGCCTAAGAAGTATGACCTGTTCCTATACTTACAGGCGGTAATCATTTTGTGCAGCAGTCCTGTTCCTGGCCCGTGTGCGCATTGGTGGAGCATGCATAAGCCCACTCCTCCCCATTGCACCCCATTTTGCCCCTTCCGGGTCCAAAAGGACCAGTGCATCGGTGGTCATGCGTCAATTGGACATCCACAAAATGGTCAACACCTGTACTGATCCAAGATCCTTGGCAGATCTGACGGACTCATTGGCAGAAAATAGGTATGGAATGGGTTCCATGAGGGTAGTAGCGTAGGGTCTTTCATACCTAAAGGAGAAGGCAGTGTGGCCTCTTATGGCCTCTTGTAGCCTCAGGTTTGGGCAGATGCATGATGTTGTAGCCAAATGAGTCATACTTAGAGTAGCCCCATGGACTCAAGTTAGTCTGCACCTTTTAGAAGCTTTTCAGGAACTTCTACTTTGGTTTGGTTTGCAGCGATCGTGTTTGAGCCTCAATGCTGTTTACACTTATTGCAATGCCTTTGATTTAGGGTTGCAAACTTCAGTCAATTAATCGGTTAGGTTAAATGATATTCTATATATATCCTATAAAGTAGTTATGAAAGCTACAGATGACAGGCATCATATTAGCATTCCCTTTCTTTCTCATGCAGGAGGGCATGGCACGTCTGAGATTGCTTTTTGATGTCCGTAGCAGGCACAAAGTATGCTCCTCCCCCCAACCCCCCATTTTAACAGTCTGGAAAAACATGGGGATTTTAATTAATTGATCAATCAATCAATCAATCAATCAATTAAAACTCATATGAGTGATTTATTTAATCAGGTGGCAGTCCTACATTTGCATTATATTTTATACCAAAAACTTTTGCTTACATGCCTTAACATTTACATTATCAGAGAAAAATGAGCTCTGCGCCGAAACAAATGGAAATGAAAAGGCTGATATATTTCTAGCAGACTGCAAATAAATGTGGAGTTGGGACCAAGGGGTCAAATGTTGTTTTGCCACAAAGGGCAATTTGTTAAAGCATCCCTCTAAGTGCTAGCAGATCTTGAATTGATTGTACTCTCCAATCGATAAAGAAACTCAAGAGACCAGTGCATCTGGTCTGGACCCAGGATGCACTGTTGGCCTGACCCAAGGTACAATTATTCTAGTAACTGAGCTGATGGATTTGCAAAACCCAAGAATGAATTTGTTTCTTCTTGGTATATTTAATCCATGTTGCTTAGTATCCTATCACCATGAATAGCCTGTACTGGAAGAACATTACCAGTGGGGTAGGATGATGGAATATTCCACTCCACACCATACAGCTGAGTTTCTAACAGTCTGCACCAGCCTTTCTCAACCTGGAGTCCCCAGATGTTATTGTAATTATTTAAACAATTTTCCTGTCCACGTCAAGTTTATCGTTATTACACCCATAATGCAGAAGGATGGAGCTGTGGCTTAGAGAACGTGGGTTATGCTAGCCTTGCAAAGTAACCTGATGTTGTTATACCGAGTTTGCTGGAGGGCAGGGCGAGTGAGAGTAGTGTATGACAACCGTGGAGTTGGAGACTCGATTTTCTTGGTGTGTGTGTGTTTAGGGAAAATGCAGTGCAGATAGGGTGTGTGAAATTTATTGTACCAGCAGTGTGGTTAATTAAGGTATGGATGAGTAAAAGGGACTCAGGAAAAGAACAGGAGGTTCAGAAGCAAGTGGGAATATGTTGTCTAGATTCCTAATAGATAGCAAGTACATCCATTGAGAAACCCTGGAGAGGTAGACAGGAATACAAGTTTGTCAGAGGCCAGGTCTACCTAGGTCCTCCCACTCATTCACTTGACCTACTAGAAATAATGGACCTGCTCTCTGATACAAGTTATGTTTGTTTGTTTGGAATATTTACTCCCCATTGCCTACGGCACTAGGAAGCTTCCTGCAGAGGCTCGTGTTGACAATATCCCTTTTCAGGTACAGACTGTACACAGTTTTCATGTCTTTATTTATTTTAAAGCATTTCTAGACTGCTTAATATTTTAAATACTCCTAAGCGACAGAAATAAGACAAAAACGACAAAACCTTATTGCAAGCGTGGCTACATCATTGATTTGTATAAAAGCACCACAATGCTGGCAGTTTTATCTTAGATCCTGGATTTTCAAGTATGTTTTTAAAAAATGAAACACCAACCCCAATGAGCAATTGTGGTTTTCCATCACAGCCAGTAAGCATCTCAACCAGGCCATGGGTCTGTGAAAGTATCCTCAGATCTATAAGTAAGTTGAGGTGGGGGTGAGAGTGACAATACAACGTACATTCTCTCCTGTGGTTAAGGATGTGTACTCTTGATGTTTTGTTTTTTTAAAAAATAATTTTTATTAACAGGCCAATCAGATCACATTAATTCCAAATCACATTAGTTCCTAATTATACAACCAAATTTTTAAAATTTTGTTGGGGGTACCCATATTTCGAGCTCCGAAAGGGATCCAAACATCACTCTTGCTGCTGCTTTAATTACACAGTTCTGTCCAGATAGTCTCTTTGTTATTTTCCTCATCTTCTTGTTGTTATCATATATTCCTTTCTTTGTGATCTCTGATAATCTTCACAAGCGGGTTGAAAACAAACATATCCTGTGTGGATTTTACTCTCTCCAAGAGCCATATCACATAAAGGACAGACGCCATTTCCACACCTCTGTACAGAACATTCCCACAGTCTGTCCGTTGATTTCCACAGGCCTGCCAGTCTGTCATCAATTTTCTCAGGGGGCCCTTACACTTGATGTTTTGCTTTCGAATCTATGGAGACCAAGTACTTATCCACACCCCCCCCCCCCGGTAGTCCACACACTAGGGCTGCCATATTTTAGAAAGTGAAAATCCAGACAGAAAAGTTCAGCTTGTTAAGGCAAAGTTCTTGAGCTTTCCCCCCCCCAAATCGTAAAAAATAGAGGTTTTAGAACTTTCCTCACCCCGAGAAATCACCCAAATCTGGATTTTCCCGGACATTAAAGGGAATCCCAGACATGTCCGGGAAATTCCGGATGTATGGCAACCCTACCACACACAATCTAGATCTATTGCATTTTTATTTATTTATTTTTTGCTTCTGCAAAGCACTTTTTGAGAAACTGGTTTCATTCTGAATAGAAAAGCCCACTGGAGATTACCCCACTGTGTGTCAATTTGAAAACACATGAAAGGAGTGTGTTTGTTTGAAAACAGATGAAGGCAATTGGTGTGTGTGTGTGTGCGTTGTGAGTAAATGTACACCAAGATTGCGATCCTTCTTCATTCACTTGAGACATGTTCAGGGAGGAAAAGGCATGGTAAT